TTGTTTGATTTTTTTTGTTGAAAAATCGCAATAAGCCACATGCATCAATCAGAAACAATTGTCTTCTAAACAAACATGTAGATTTTGTGTATTTACTTATATTGAGGAAAACTGTTCATCATTCAATTAAAGTTGCAGGGTCGTCACCTGCGCACGCATGGGAATTCAGTCCTAAGCGATGATAACACGCGCTAAAAACGCAAAGGGTCATGGGTAGACGTTGGTTTGTAAACAATGACACACTATGGCCATCTGACGCATGGGCAGGTGACTACTCCCCCGCTTTAAAATAGGCGTTTACCTGTATTGAGGCACAATTATCTTCCATTGATCAATACAAAAAAAAGATTTTTTTAATTGTCCTATAATTATGCAAAATTGTCATGCATCACAATGGTTTCAGGGGTCTTCATTTGTAATTACTTAAAAATATATTTATAAATTCATATTTGAAAGTAAAGCAGGTAACGCTCTGACCATTTACAAAGTATTTTATTAAATCATTTTCTTTTCAGCAATTTGGATTTACAATGGATTACAAATTACAAAATGTTCAATATTTACAATACCAAAAATAAAAAAAATAAAAAGCACAAAAAAAGTGAAAAGAAAAAATGAAGCCAAGGGGTCTTGGAGGCCCACCAAACTATGTGAAGAAACAAACTGTTTTCGATCGCTATTTCGATTTTATAAATCGCTGTTGGAAAATCGTTATAAACCACATTCACAGGAAATCAGAAATCATTGTTTTGTTTTTTTAAATAATCAAGAAAACTAGAGTTAATTTTTTTTCTAACCTGTATTTAGCCCAATTTTAATTCATTACTAAAAAAATAGCATTAATTTTTTATTATTTCTATACATTTAGGCAAAACTGTCATTTATTACAATAGGTTACCCAAGGATGTTGTTAATGGTATTTATAAATATTTATAAAATCATACGAGGTTGTTGGATAAACTCAGGCCATTTCAACATTTTATTGCAGTTAACTTCATTATTCAAGAAAACAACTTTTTACATGAAGTACGCGAGACACAATTGTCATTCATTGTTTGGAAAAAAAACCTTAATGTTACTTTTTATATTTAACTATTCATTATTCAAGAAAACAACTTCCATTTTTACATGTAGTACACAAGGCACAATTGTCATTCATTATTCAGAAAAACCTCTTATTGTTACTTGTTCATTATCCAAGAAAACAACTTCCATTTTTACATGTAGTACACGAGGCACAATTGTCATTCATTATTCAGAAAAACCTCTTATTGTTACTTGTTCATTATCCAAGAAAACAACTTCCATTTTTACATGTAGTACACGAGGCACAATTGTCATTCATTATTCAGAAAAACCTCTTATTGTTACTTGTTCATTATCCAAGAAAACAACTTCCTTTTTACATGTAGTACACGAGAAAAAAATCATTCAGAAAAAAACTTTAAACGGTTAATGTGTGTTTATTTTCTATATATTCAGACATGTATTATGTCTTTAATCCTTTGAGTGCCAACATTTAATTTTGTCACCAAATTGTTCATATTTGTTCCAAAATTGTTAACAAAAACTCGTCGCCATTAGAAAATTGTCAGTTTGGTTAAACATTATCAAAATATTTCTCAAAAAATGGGCAATGTAATCCTTTTGGTAAGAAAGAAATATGGGTGCTTAAAGGGTTAAAGTGACAGTAATTATTTGAAGATATACATAAATTCAAATTAGAGAGTTTTCATTCATTATTGAATCTTTATGTAACCCTTCTCAATGTGACAAGCAGGCGAGACTCGAGTCAATTCAAAATTATACTGGGACCCCAATTATGCTGTAGCTTTGAATGGAAGAATAATTCACAAAAGCTTTGATTTGTTGAAAATAAATTACATAATGGAAAACTTGTCTTTATTCTTTTTTGTTAAGTTTTCAGCTATGCTCTCATTGAAAATAACAAAGCAGAGCTGTTCATATTACTATTTGTCTGTCGTCTGGCCTATCTAGTGATGGTTCTTTATGTAGTGTATGACCAATCCAAGTCTATTTTCTTATTCTCCAGCTGATTTGTGGGATGTATCTTGTTTGTTCCCAGAGCTTTTGGTTACTAATCAATATTCCCAGGGTTTCTTCAAGCACGAGTTTGTATAGGCTTGAGTTGTCCTGCATTATGAAGTTGTCTTCCATGTCAAACATTTAACAAAACTGATTTCATATTTGTGTTGAAAATCTTGGTCCTTGTCTCGTGGGATTCATGTGCAGGTTTCAAAATTAACAGTAGCTTAAGACACACAGGCTACCTAATCTTGTCCTGGGCCTACCATTTTCTACCAATTAATTAGTTCACCCGGACTACTTAAACATGTTTAAAAATAGTATTGCTTTGAAATAAAGCATTTAGTCAATGGATGTCCAATACAAATTGAGCAAAATAACATTTTTTTTTTTTTTCAAATTTATTTTTCTATCTTCATGTCTTTGTAAATCTTTCCCGGTGAACCCACCAGGGTGAATCTGAATCCCATTGTACATGACATTTAGAATTCTAGGGAATTTCCTCGCAAACTTGTTTGCATGTTAGTATACTTATGAATGGGTTATCTTAGATATTACTCTATATGCATTTAGAGACTTTAAAAAAAAAAAAAAAACTTATTTGAGCAAACATCCTCATACCCTTCTGACGACCCACCCCGAACATCATGAAACATTGGTTTAAATTAGCTAATGTAGAGATTGATGGGAAACAATTGGGGGGTGAGCATGTTGCTCACTGGGCCAGATAAGACCCTGTCAACAATCATAAACAGGAAAGTCATTTAAAATATGGTATGGAAATATGTATACTGATATAATGAAACAAAGGTGGATAGGATACACGTGTACGAGAAAAGATCCCGAAAATTCATGCTGCTTCAAACCAGTCTAAATCTCCGCCCTATTTTTATCAGTATGTTCCTATTTTTCCAAGTATCTGAGCTTGGCTACTTCCAACCAATCAGAATTTGTAATTGGTCAAACTCTTCTAATAAAGCATGACATTGGAGTAAGTCCTTGTATGATGGAGATACTTTCAAACAGGTTTGCGCCACTGATTCAAGCCCACTTTCACGACCGATCTTTTTACCCATAATTGTAAGATGATGATGCACTTAAGCATTATGTAAATGAGGTAAATAATATGCAGGTAATTTATAATATTGCCCATTTAATATGCAGGTAATTTATATTATTATACATCTGTCACCGCAACGCCAAGTTACAGCGTGCCGTAATTTTGCGGTATTTTACGGGGTATTTTCATACTACCATATTAGGAAATGCGAATGATTACGCGCGTAAGCGTCCTCTAATAATAAAAACAAACATGGCTGCCACCAGGATTTGACCGGACTCCACACAAATAAGTTCGCTGATTCTGTTCTAAACTTTTTGGATTTCGGCATTCCCATGATGTATCATTGGAAGGAAAAGATGTATAATAATAAGGTTATTACG